AATGTCTTATCTCGGGACGCGGAAACAAGCAGGTTGCCAGACGACGGCGAGCCTGCTGCGCCGCTGGGTATGAATCGAATGGCAGAGACGGAGTGGTCATGGCCTGGGAGGGTGCGGATATTCTTGTACTCGTCCGAGGGGTCCCAGAGTTTGATGGTCAGGTCGCTAGAACAAGATGCCAGTAGTGTACCGCCTCTTGGGCCACCAAAGTCAACGTCGAGCACGCCCTTTGTGTGCCCCTTGACTGTCCTTTCGAGCTCTCCCAATTCCCAGTCCCAGATTTTGATGGTCGTGTCTTCTGAGCCTGATGCAAGTGAGGAGAAGATGGGGTGGAAGGCCACGCATGTTATCGGGGAGCGATGCGATTGGAGCGTGTGTCGTGCCGGGGCTCGTGGCAGCCAGCTGGTGGGGTCCTGATTTCTTCGGAGAAGCGAGGTGGGAGTTGTGGAGTCGAGTTCGCTCTGGAGGCTCTGGTTGCGCTGCTCAAGTTCCAGGACCTGCAAAAGATGAGCATGAGACTCCAGAGAGCAGACTAGCGCACAGCTACCTTCTTCTGCAAGCGGACTACGCTCGTCCACTTCTTCTCGAGCAGCCCCTCATACTTTTTCCGCGTGGCCTCGTCGAAATTGTCCGAGATGCCGGCTTCCTCGCGGAAAGCCTCTGCGGTCCTTGGCGCATTTATGACGCCCAGATAGGCGACAATGGCCTTGTGCCTGGGGGTGCTGTCAGTTGTGGGCGGTTGTACATGGGCCGGTGCCAACACTCACAACTCCTCTGCTTGGCGGTCTGTAAGTATCGCGCTCATGGCGAAAAGACTAGCTCAAACGCGGCCGTCGCAGAAGCCCACCATCTACTGTGCCGCTGGTTGGGCTGGGTCAGGGCCGTGGGTGCGGAGGGTGTTGGTGGGCGCGGGGGAACGGCGTCGGCGGTGAGCAGGGAACAAAGGCCAGGCGGGGTGGGTTTGTGCGTGTGCTTGGGCGTAGGGCGGGAGTGGGCACAGAGATGGCGCAGGCCGCCACAAAGGGAAGGGGGTGTGAATTGGGGGGAGGGATGGGCGTGTGCGTGTATAGTGGGTAGTAGTATGTGGGCAGAACACGGCGGCGGCGGGTGGTGGGCGGCGGTGTGTATACCACCTGGGCTGCTGAGGGCGAGAGTGCAGGGGGTGGCCGCCAGTGGGAAAGACGTGTTGCTGGATCAACGCCCAATGCACATGCGATTTACATCAGAGCCAGACACCACTTGGACCACGACACACGTCTCTGCTGTTGCTGCACCAGACCACAATCTCCCCACCACATTCGCCCAAACAATCCCCCTCTTGGGTCCCACTGACATCATCCGGTACGTCGTCGGCCGCCGCTCCTTTTTTCCCGACGCTGTCCTGGGCCGCTGCGCAACTATCTATCCGCACCTGGCCCTCTCCCAATGCGCATCCACGCGCACTCTTTCTCCTTCTCCAGCTCTCGCTTTGTCCAGGCTTGCGACTGACTCGTCTGATAGTCTCTCACCCTTGTCTTCTCCCCATTTCCCTCATACACAAACACACACGCACACAGTACACGCACATAAACAATAATCGCACACCATGGCCGACGAGGAAGATTTCAGCAAGCTGCCGCTGCCCGATCGCTTTGTACACAAGAACTGGAAGGTACGGAAAGAGGGCTACGAAGCCGCCGCCAAAGAATTCAGTCTAGCCGCCAGCGAGTCCGACCCGGTAGTGCGCCAGTTCATAAACGATGCGAGCATATGGAAGGGCGTGGTGGGCGACTCCAACGTCGCCGCACAGCAGGAAGGTCTTGGTGCGCTATGCGCCTTCCTTGACATAGCCGGCCAACAGGGCTGCACACGGTAACATGTCGCATGCCCTTATACAAGACGCTGCTGCTGACTTGGTGCCTAGGACGCGGAACATCACCATCGCTACAATCGCTGAAAAGGGACTACCGTCAACACGACCAGCAGCAAAGCAAAAGGCACTCGAGGCGCTGATGTTGTATATTGAGACGGACAAGCCAGACCCAGTCATCGAGGAGCTCCTTCCTATACTAGCACACAAGCAACCCAAGGTTATTGCTGCGACATTAGAAGCGTTGACACAAATGTACCATGCCTATGGCTGCAAGACCATGGAACCCAAGTCTGTCCTTAAATCCCTCCCCAAAGTATACGGTCACGCGGATAAGAATGTTCGCGCGAAGGCGCAGGAATTGACAGTCGAGCTTTACCGCTGGCTCAAAGAAGCAATGAAACCACTCTTCTGGAACGATTTGAAGCCCGTGCAGCAGCAGGATCTCGACAAACTCTTCGAAAAGGTCAAAGACGAGCCTCCGCCAAAACAAGAGCGACTACTCCGTTCACAACAGGCCGCAAAAGAAGCTGCAGCTGCAGGTCCAGGTGGGGACGAGGAGGAGGAGGAGGAGGAAGAAGACGCTGCTATTGATCTGGAGCCCGAGTACGAGGCCGTCGATGTATTCGCAAAGATACCCAAGGATTTCTCCGAGAAGCTAGCATCGTCCAAATGGAAAGATCGAAAAGAAACACTCGACGAGGTTCAGAAGGCGCTCGACCACCCTCGCATCGCCGAGGGTCCCTTTGATGAATTGATACGTGGGTTTGCAAAGAGTATGAAAGATGCAAACATTGCTGTGGTCATCACAGCCGCCAACTGCGTTGAGCTACTTGCAAAGGGTTTGAAGAAGAGTTTCGCCAAGTACCGCAAGGATGTAATGAACGCTATGATGGAACGATTGAAGGAGAAGAAACAGACTGTCACCGATGCCATTGGAGCCGCCCTTGATGCATCTTTTGCTTCGACAAGTTTCCAGGAGTGTCTTGAAGAGATTCTAGAGTTTCTGAAGCACAAGAACCCTCAGGTCAAGCTAGAATCCTCTAGGTTCCTGATCCGATGTTTAAAGAATACTCGCGAAGCACCAACACCAGAACAAGCCAAAGCCATCGCAGAGGCTTCTACAAAGCTCCTCACAGAGTCACAAGAAGTACAGCGATCCGCTGGTGCCGAGGCACTGGGCACGCTTTGGAAAATCATGGGAGATCGCATCATGAATGCTCACCTTGATGGGTTGGACGATATCCGCAAAGCCAAGATCAAGGAATTCCACGATGCTGCCGAAGTGAAGACCAAGTACAAACCAAAAACCGCCCCTGCTCCCAAGCCTGCAGCTCCCGCGCCTACGAAGAAGCCTGTGGGTAAGCGACCAGCACCCGGTGGTGTGAAGAAGGCCGCTCCGGCAGCCAAAGCTCCTCCGCCTCCGCCTGTTGAAGAGCCCGCTGCGCCACTTGAACCAAAGCCAACTTCAAGACCGGCGCCGCCCAAGTTGGGTGCCAAGCCTGGTGCATCAAGACTGGGGGGATTGAAGAAACCAGGTCTCGCAGCACCCTCGCCACGAAAATCAGCGCCATCGCCTCCACCGCCGGAAGAAGAAGAAGCACCACAGCCGCAACCCAAGTTTGGCGCGGGCCGTGGTCTTGCGGGCCGTCCCTTGGGAAAACCTGCTGCTGAGCCTACTGCAGCCCCTGTCTATCAGGCCCCCACCGGACTGAGTCTAGTCGAACGGGCTGAGCTTGATGAGCTCCGTGCCGAAGTTGAGCGAATTCGAAGGCAATATGAAGAATTGCGGGCGGAGCGAACTAAGCTTTCGTCGCAAATTTTTGAGCTCCAAAATCAAAATGCCCAGCTAATCGAAGACCACACACGCGACGTGCTTTCTATCAAGGCCAAGGAAACACAGCTTGTCCGTGCCCGCTCGGACTTTGAAGCATCTGAGCAGACTGTTCAATTCCAGCGCCGGGAAATCGATCGATTGAAGCGCGAGCTCAGTCGCCAAGTGCGAGTGTCTTCTCCACCGCCAGCAGATGTGGTTGATCATATCTACTCAGACAATGGCAATGGGGGACAGTTTGGGGACTCTGGATATGGCAGCCGGGCCATGCATCCGAGAAGAGACAGGAGTTTTGCTGGCGGGCCAAACAGTCCAGGGGGTGATGGTAAGGAGAACTTCGACACGCTGTCGCAGCCGAGCAGTAATTTGAGTGGTAAACTGAGTCCCCGAGCAGATGCCACTTCTGGCAAGTCATCTCTATCATCACGTGGCGGCGACCGCATCAGCTCTGGCGAGAATGGCGGCGGATTCCGATCGGGCTCACAGGCTGCCTCGGGAGCAGAGAGCTGGAAGCGTGCTGCAGAGGTGACTCAAAACTTGAAGCAGAGGATAGAAATGATGAAGGTAAGTTGGCAATCTCGGTTTGTGTGTAATGGAGCTGACAGCAGGTACAGGCTAAACAGGGGATCGGACGCCCACAAGGCTAATAATGGCGATATGGTTTGCGGCCTTTGCATTGATGAGATGGATTGGGTATTAGGCGAAGGGGTTCGGTTGGGGCCATTATAGCACGGGCCGCGCAGCGGGCCTGATGGAATGGTGATCGAGGGAGCATTGGTAATGGGTACGGACATGGAGCTTCGCAGCTTACGGTCGTGTCGAGTGCTGCAGGTACTTTATCCGTGTGCATCTTCAACGGCGTTTGGTCTGATTTGGGAGGTGCCGGTGTGATAGTGATAACAAGGCACATGGGCGGGATAGAATGGGCAGGCACTAATAGTGTGTGTGTGCCCCGGGGCAAACAGCACTGGACGACTCGAGGTGTTTTTCCTTCCGTACGAGATTCCCCGAATGCTTGTTCCGTCTGCTGTTGGAGGTTAGTGGCATCAGCAATCATGTCATGGTCTGCCAGGTCGCCCGCAGGCACAGTCCGGGGTTCTCCAAGGCCTCGACTCCCGATAACGCGTACCAGAGTGTTGGCATGTAACTGTGCCGCAGCAGAGATCCGCTTGCCGAACCTTGAATGTCAGGCAGTTCCGTGTCTGGCTGCGTCAAGCGCCTGAATCGATTTATTTGTCTTCCTTTTTTTGCTTCTGCATTCTACTGCACCCACTCTGCAGTCCTTGGTACGCGCTTCCCATGGCACAGTCCCTCGCAATGGATGCCGGATTGTCGCAGCGCACGCAAAAGGCATTGCGGGAGCTTCTCCCTACCTTCGCGGCAGGCGCCCCACAACAACAACCTCCTCCTCCACATATCACCGACCCCTTCCCCCCAACCATTGATCTGTCTCGTGGCCTCAACGAAGCCATCCATCCCGAGCTGCTCGAGTTCTTCCACAGTACTCTGGAGGATAACATTGCGAGCGAGGTCCCTAGCCCCAGACCAAGCAAAGTTGTGCTTCCCCACTAACCTTCTAGACAGGCATTTGCAGCCCCCGCCGCATCAGTAAATGGCGGCGATCAGCGACTCCGCTATGCACTAGCCGCCTTTTTTAATTCATACTTCAATCCCATCCACACCGTGAAGCCGGAGCACATTGTCCTTACATCGGGAGCCGTTGATGCTGTCGAGAACGTCATCCACGCCATTTGTGACGATGGCGACTGCATCCTCGCTCCCGGCCCACATTGGTGTATGTATTATGTACCATCTTGAGAGTATATCATAATATGCAGAACCACGAACGCTGAGAAATACTACAGCTGGCTTCGAAACAATACTAAAGAGAAAAGCCAATGTAGAGCTGATTGTTGCCAAACCACCCACCTACTCACATTGGGACAACTATCTTCTCCCTTCACTCCAAGCAGCCTACGATTTCTCAGATAAGCGGTCACGCATCAAGGCCGTGCTGCTGTGCAATCCCAATAACCCGCTTTCAAGATGCTACCCCCGCGAAACATTGCTTGAGCTCATGGAGTTTTGCCAAGAAAGAGGGTTGCATCTCATCTGCGATGAAGTCTACGCTCTCCTCAAGCTGTCCGGGACAGATAGCAAAGCCCCGGACTTTGTCAGCGCACTCAGCCTGACGGAACCGCTTGCACGCGCCGGAGCAGTCAAGGTGGATCCGAGCCGCGTCCACGTCGTATGGAGCGCCAGTAAATTATTCGGCATGAGCGGATTCAGAGTGGTACGCAGTTCTACTTCCAAGTCTTGGTCGGATAGCTTCATTTTGATCAAGTGTCTGTGTTAACTGTGATAATTTAGGGATGTCTCGTATCGCAGCAAAACCCCTCCCTCCTACACGCCATGGCACTAACTTCCACTCACCCTTCCTCACTCTCAACATCGCATCTCTCCGGTCTCTTGTCTTGGTCCCAACTCCCCACTCTCCTCGCCCTCAACTCGGAGCGTCTAACCATCAACTACAAGATGCTAGCCGCCGTCTTGCGCAAACATGACGTACCGTTTCTTGCGCCCTCCCATGGTCTCTGCATGTTCGTCCGCCTGGCGAAACGCGCGAGGACGCAGCATGACGAAGCGAGGTTTTACGATGACCTGGCCAGATGGGGCGGTGTCATGGTTGCTCAAGGAAAGAGCTTTAGAGGCGTAGAGAGGGATTTTGGGTGGGCGAGACTGAGGTTCTCGGTGCCTGTTGCGGAGATGGAGGATGCAGTTAGGAGAATAGATGTTTTTCTGGAGAAGCATGGGTAAGAAGGGACTTGGAGATTGGGAGAAAAAAAGTGATATAGAGGCTGTTTTCCTTAACATGAGAAAGCGTTCTTATTTCTGGGTTCATGTCATGACGCATATCGTTTCTTTCATAATCTCTTAATATCCCATTATACTTGATATTGTGGTATACTTTGTGTTTCATGGAGAGTTGGAGATAGTTATTTGTGCAATAAACCTGAATAGACTTTCCGAGGTTGGTGTTGAACTGAATATTCTACATTAAGGCTTTTTTTTCCCGTTCCATGTAACCAAAATGTGCTCCCACAAGACAAAATATGTTAACATCTCGTCTCATCTTATCGTATTGTCTCTTCTCATTTCAAACCCTTCCATTCCCATATATATACCTACAACACTCCCTCATCTCTCCCCGATCCATCCTCCCCTTACGCCACCTTCCCCAACACCCCCTCATTCTCCTCAATATACCTGACCAAATCCTCAATCGTACAAACCTTAATCCCCCACTTCTTACCAAACTCCAAGCACTCATCCCTTCTCATCATACCGCCATTCTGAAACTCAGGTTTGCCAGGCACCTCGTCACCATCAGTGATGAGCTCACAAATAACACCGACGGGCTCTTTACCCGCCAGACGACACAAATCGACGGCGGCCTCGGTATGTCCCATGCGCTCCCTTACGCCGCCATCGCGAGCTTGGAGGGGCAAGATGTGACCTGGTCGGCGAAAATGGCTTGCTTTTGCGCTGGGGTCGGCGAGCATGCGGCAGGTGAGGCTGCGGTCGTGGGCCGAGATACCGGTTGTGACGGAGGGGTCTACAGCGTCGATGCTGACGGCGTAGGCGGTGCGGTTGGGGTCTGCGTTGTCGGCCACCATTTGCGGGAGGTGCAGGGCGGCGGCGCGCGAGACGGGGAGGGGCGCGCAGATGTAGCCTGAGCTGTAGCGGATCATGAAGGAAGCTTTAGAGGGGGTTAAGGCTGAAGCGGCGATGATGAGGTCGCCTTCGTTCTCGCGCGACGGCGAGTCGAGGACGATTACGAATTCGTCATTTGCTGTGGCGGGGTGAGTTAGTGGGTAGGTTTCTTCAGGTCGAGGTTGGGTGTAGACGTACCGAATGCTTGTATCACATCTGGTATCGAGTCGAATGCTGGGTGTGAGGGTGTGGAATTGATCGTTTCTTTCGTGTTGCTGTTGACGCCCTTTGTGCCGTTGGCGGGCAGCCCGTTCTCCAGCTCTGCAGTCATACTTTCAAGTGTAACTTTTTTCTCTTCGTCTCTTCTCTTCTTTCCTTGGTTCTTCCTTTCTGCTCTTTACTTTGTCTGACGTATATGATATGTATCCAAACTCCTCTTGTGAAAAGTATATGTTATGACGCGACGAGATTACCGCGGCTATCGCTCGGCCCGTTTGACTGGTTTCGCAAGCCTCTTCCCTGACGGTTGCCAATGTACGTGCTTAGAAAACAATCTCGTAAGCGACCGTAGTTCCGCGTACCCTCGGAGCCCCAAATCTTTTCTATGTGCAAGTGGGCGGGCGTGGGGAGAGGCTGAATGCAATGAAGAGTTTTGTAGTATAGGAAGATGCAAATGGTTCGGATGCTAGGGTTGTGTCAATTTTCAGGTCGCACAAAGATGACAGGTGGGTGATGGGTAGGATTATGTTGTGATTGTCTGCGGAACCGCCGTTCGGATGTCCCGATGTCACTAACAGATGGAGGGGTGATCAGATGCACATGCCTCGGCCTTTTTCCCCTGCGTCGGTGCGAAGCGAACCGCCGCTCCGATCCAGGCCCAGTCCATTGCTCCGACATGGCCGATGGGTCTGGCTTGTCTTGTGACATGACATCTGTGTAACGTCAGGTACCCAGGCATCACTCTTGTGCGCTAACTCATGAACCTTTAACGATTATCTCGAGGTGGCACGTGGATACACCAATTGTAAGTATATTCAAAACAAAAACCAATTCCATCCCACATACAAACAAGGGTATAATTCAAGACCACTTCATCGGTCTCCAAGGATGCCGTATAGCTTCCTCTGGTTCGATGACCGGCGTCAGTGACGCTATAAAACACTAATTTAGGTACTGCTGCAGTGAATTCAACTATGCAAAAGCAGCCCTCACGCTAGAAAAAAATCAATGGAACAACTAAGCCTGCTTATCACTGACGAACTCTTTATCGCCGTGAGTAGAGCTGCCACCGCTGCGGGTCTCCGCAACGCCCTCAGTCTGAGGGCTAGACTTCCAGAAGTCCATCTTTCCACTCTTAAGCCTCTGCACCCAGGGTGGGAAGAAGCCGCCCTCAAGACGGTATGTCCAGTGCTCCTTCTCGTCCTTGTTGGGTGGAACGATACGGCCGCCAGACGCAAGCTCGAGCAGCCAGACCATAGTGTTGATGAGAATGTAGGAGCAGATACCGGCAATCAGACCATAGGCAATCGAGTATGTGAAAGGCATAACCGCAATGGTGAGGAAAGCCGGGATGGAGTCGCCCAGGTAGCGCCAGTTGATGTCCTTGGCCGAGGTAGCCATGAGGGAACCGACAATGACCAACGTACAGCCAGTGGCCCATGGCGGGATAGAGGCAAAAATCGGAGCGAAGAAGATGGAGATGAAGAAGCAGAGCCCGGTGAACATGGCAGTAAGACCAGTCTTGCCTCCCTCGGAAATACCAGCACCAGACTCAATGTACGCAGTGACGGGAGGGCAGCCCATAAGCGAGCCAATAGAAATGCCGATCGCATCTACAGAGTAGGCAATGGAAGAGTTCTCGAAATCCTGAGTGCGCTCATCAATAGCACCGCAGAAACGGGCCATGGAGTAGAGGGTACCGGTGCCTGGACATGTTAATATGTATCAAAAATGATGCATAGTGTGTAGCTTACAGTCAAGAATGTCGACATAGAGGAAGGTGATGAAAGCAAGACCCCATTGACCAGCGTGCGCCGAAACATCCCATTCTTGCACAGCCAGAATCTTGCTAATCGGGTGGAACGTAACAACCTGCTTGAAGAAGTTGAAAGCGGAGTCACCAGTCTGGGTGTGCGGGAAGTAGGTGACGCTAGTGGTACGGGGCCAGGAGATGATAGACACAAGCATGATGCCAATGATAATGGCGCCTTTGACACGGTAGAGCATCAGCATGACGGTCAGGATACCGCCGCAAAAGATTCCGATCCACATGGTTGGGTTCCTCATCTTAGCACCACCTGGGCAAACGCCATCAACTTGGGCCGAGGGAACACAACCACCCAACTCAAGAGGAGTGGATTGAGCGCCAGTGATGAGACCGATACCAGCAGAGTAGGCGAGACCGATGATGGTGAGATAGAGTCCGATACCGACACCAGTAGCGAGCTTGATACTTGCGGGGATAGCCCTGGATATATGGTTAGCCTACGTATGCAGATTGAATGGCTTCAAGTGTCAGACTGTGTCGCACAGTGCGCTGAATTCAGCCACACACACACTACAACTCTAATGAAGAGCAGAGACACCTGAGCACACAGCTAATTGGAATGACGTACCTTGCGAGCCACTGACGGATACCGAGAATGGTAAGGCCTACAAAGACGAAACCTTCGACAAAGACGGCAGTGAGTGCAACCTCGTACGGAACCATGCCTTTTACAGAAATCAGCAGAGTCCCATATAGACATCGAGTACGCCCATGACATACCTGTACCATGGAATCCGACAACAGTGTAGGCAAAGTAGGCGTTCAATCCCATTCCAGGGGCGAGTGCAATTGGCATGTTGGCGAACAGACCCATGCAGAAGGATGTCAAAGCGGAAATGGCAGCTGTGGCGGTGACGAGATCGCGTTTGATTTCCTGGACGCACAGCGCATACTCGGCGTTGGTCTCACAGATGGGGTCGTCGGGGAGTCCAGGACAAACGCATGTACCACCACTGTCTGACACGATCGATGCTGTCCATATTCATCAGATGACGAGGGTCAATGGCATTGCGCAATTGACATACAGTTTACAGAGATGATGTAGGCCATTGCGAAAAAGGTCGCGAGGCCTGCGCGGAACTCGGTGGTAAAGTAACTGCCTTTGCGCTCCTTGGGCTGTGGACTGGTCAGTGCATGTTTTGATGATGATATACTTTGGCAATGGATGTACACACATGACCAGAGCCCTCAAGGCGAAAGTACCTGCCGACGAGGGAGCTCGCGACGACGGCATTGATCTTGTGGATCAAGCCGGACATGATGCAGAAATTTCAGTGATGCCGTGGGGTGGCGATTGAGATTTTGGGGGTTGAGTGTGCGAGTGGGTGAGTGAGTGAGAGAGCGTGAGTTGCAGCGGTGCCAGTTGCCGTAAAGTGGACCAAGCTGTGAGAGGGATCGACGTCGAGCTCTGCCCTGTGGATTTGCGCCGGCAAAGAGAGCTTTTTAAGTCAAGTAAATGCGTATTACAGGACATGAAGCGCATTTAGCATGCTGCCGCACCAAAAAGATAAGGGCAGGCGGCGAGGCCCAAACCCTGTCGCGTTCGTCGTCCCACAGAGAGCCAATGGCAGATACCAGGCTGATCAGGCTTTACTCGAGCGGGTATAGGCTGACAGTCCACGCGAGCCCACATCACGGTAAGCTAGGGTGTCTCGGATTCGTGCGCGTGAAGGAGGCGGCCGGCCGGTGCTGGGTACTACTGTCGACTGGGGAAACGTACTGTAGTGAATGTGCGGCACGACACCTCGCCTGTTGCAACCAATACACTTAAGCGCATTGGTATGCTTTTCCTAGGACCGCCACGACAGTCGATCCGTATCTCTGGATGAGGGGGGGATGCGGAGGCGGCCGAGAGCGCTGTCTGAGTGACCTGTACCTACAGTTGGACTTCGCCTCTGCTATCTGGGACGAATCGCTGTTATCACGGCAGCCACAGCAGCCTCAAGGCGCACTTGACCGATTGCAAATGGAATCCTGTCAACAGTTTGGCGGCCTTGCCGGATGGGCGACCGCATCGAAATAAGGTGGGCCGAGCCAAGCGACGGTTCGCGGCGACCGGCCTAGTCGCGTTAATGGTTTTTTTTTCAGAGCACCAAGTGGAGATTTTGCCAGCCCTGGGCATTCGCAATCGCCCCAGTGCCTCCCTCACCTGCATATCCTCGCCGTTGTCGCTTCTTGCGTGACGCGACCAAGTACGCTACGCTTGTCTGCATTGCGAACAAACACACACGCCCGTCCCCATTGGGCTCTTTGCTGGGTACCGCTGCTGCTGCTGCTGTTGATGATGATGATGATGATGAGCGACATCTGGCAAACAGACCTCCAGGGATGTTTGCCCGCCTACTAACCCGCATCGGGACCTCGGCCCATCCCTCACCCGCGTGGTTTGCCTTATTATCAACTCCTTGATGATACTCTGCATATGTCCTTACATACAACATCCACGCCCCTTGTAAATAATGCACCAACGGCCTTTGCACACGCCATCCCCGGAGAACAAATTCCCGTCGCTTACTCGTCCGTATTCTCATACATGACCGTATACATATATTGGTACATTCATGGACTAGGCAGTTCCTTTCTTCTGCTGCACAGCGTGCACCTGTGCAGTATGCGCCACCTGTGGACACGTCGCAAACAAGATGCCGTGGACCCTACTCTAGATCTTTGTGTTTGTTCTTCTCTTCTTGGACGACCTTTCCAATAAGCCTTCAAACATAGTACAATGCCCGTGGATACGCCAGTCTGGAGTCAGTCGTCACTTACATGTATTGAAACACCACTGAGGCTTGCGCTGTCAGCGCACATGCACTTTGTTTTGACAGCTGTCCGACAGGCCGCGGTCTTCTTGAAACGGCTGACAGGTATATACAGACCCGTGACAGCTGATTATGCCGAAATGCTATTCATTTCAAACTTTGTACGTCGTACAATCATGATCGACATGGACAGATGGACGTGCATCCATCTCAAGCGCAAACATTCCGAGGAATGTTTCTCCAAATCAGTCCAACCTCACTGTCTCGCCTCAAGAAACACCAAGAATGCGGGCGCCAACCAACAGCCGTACCAAGGCTACATACAATATGCACCATGTTTGTTTAGATGCGGGCCTAGATCAGTTCCTTGTAAGCGATTCCATGCGGCTTACCCCTTACGCTAAGAGCATGTACGCCGTCGCTGCTGGGAAAAAGAACAAACGAAGAGCTGCATTCAGCTCCGAGGGGATGGGAGCTCGCACCTAATCGACAGGCACCAGGAAAAAGAAAAAAAGGACTAACAACTCTTGCCGACAGTCAAGAAGATTACGTCTTCATGGGGCTTTGGCAAGCTGTTCTCAGTGACTGCTACCACTACAATCCGGGGAGTCTAGTTCTTGTCCCCATCAGCCGAAAGTTAGATTTCTAACGTCTTCTTGTAATCACAAATTACCTTTTCAGAACGCGGGAACTGAGAAACAGAGAATGTTCGAGCCAGATGGTCGCATGGGTTGTGGTCAATGTTGCCCATAATCCAGCATAACCAAGGTAAAAGTGAGCCAATGCGGCCATGTTGAGCTGCTTGGCAATGGAATTTGGGCCACCAGTTGTGAAGCGTGTGACATTTAAAGCATTCAAAGACACTGTCGTCGGAGCGAAGAACTCGCCCTCTATACTATTTCGCTTGACATACCCAATCTAGTGCAAGGCGATTCTGTAACTAACAGCACAACCATCCAAGGATCAAAGCCCGGAAATAAGACGCAAACCCACTATAGAGCATCAAGTTAGGCCGGACCAAATTTACGAGATCTTCATATTTGTCGGGTCGGTTCGCAGAATACTCGGACGAGGTGTAATAGTATCCACATACGGATGCACAGAATTTCACATGTGTGGATGTGGACTTTGGCTAGTCGCATGATCCTTGCTAACCGGCATGGATAGAGGATTTTTAGTAGCAGCGGACCCTGACCTCATAGTCGAGGTGAGAGATGGGGTTCTCGCAGCTCGCAAAGTCCATTGTCGAGGTAGAGAAGTCCCAATAAAATGATGTAATGTTTTAGCGATGTTGAGGCGCAGATGCTGTGGAGTATCACCGCCACACTCTCAAGCCACTGGATGATCAACAATGACGTATGCCAGTCTGGAACTCTGTAACCTTGTCTGTCGCGTGGACCTCTTCTACAATGACACCCGTCGACTCGTGAGACCCAATACACGTCCTATTAGCTTGCCATTGCACCTGCAGATAGCCTCAGTCAGTCTGCCAGTCATGAGACATCGACTGATCGCGTTGGCATCGCTCCCTCGCGTCAGCACGCTTCCGTCGGCCCGCTGTGCACCCTTATTTACTCGCAGTTCTCCTGCTGCATCAATACGACAAGGCGTGTTCTCACAACTTCGATGCTTGACAAATCGGAGACAATCGGACCTTGACAAATATGGCGATTACTCAAATAGCAATGCCAGGCCCGCTGCAGAACTCAACGAAAACATAACGCAGGAGGAGAAGGACCATTTCGCACAGAAGCTGAAAGAAGACAAGGGCAAGCAGATACGCACGCCATGGCATAGAGAGGGAAGCGATACGCCGCCTGTTGCGCGACAGAGGAGTGCTGGAGCGATGACCAAGGGCATGTTTTTGCTAATGAATACACGAAGACAATTGTTAACACGAGACAGGGAAATTGTTAACTACACCGTCTCGCATGCTGAAGATCATCCTCCCCCTCACCACTAGCGACCAGAATACCGATCGCAAGGACATTGAACCGCTGGCACTCCTGGTACATCCACAGCAGCCTATCTCATATCTTGAGCGTCTGATACAGGCTGAGCTTCCTACAATCAAAGACAAGCAAGGTCGTGAGCGGCAGCCACACGTGTACTTTCGGGCTGAAGATTCAGTACAACCAGAGGAAGAGTCAGGGGACACGAAGAAAACGCCAGTCAGCAGTGAAAAGGAAAGCTTGAGCCAACAAGAAGGAGAAGAAGACTTTGAGCAGGTCGATGAGATCCGCATCGACGGTAAAATCCACAAGACAGGCAAACTTGGCACGCGCGATAGGATGATGCCAGAACAAGCAGAGGAGCTACGAGGTGGGCCCGGAGAGGGAGGGGTAGAGTCGTACTCTGGCCAAGGTCACGAGGCCTCTTCAGACAAAGAAGGAGAGCGCAGATTTGTACGATGGTCTTCGTCGACCGAGATTGGTGACTTCATTCGTGACGCTGCCCGAGGGCAAGAGTTTGCAATTGAGATCGAAGGCGCGCCCGAAGAAATCCGAGTTGGTGTGCCCAGCTTCAACGACAGGACTTACTATCTGCGAATGCGGTTACGTAAAATATCAAAGAAGATTAGCGCCATGGCCGACGTCAAGAAGGAGTGCGATGATCTAGCGCAGCTGGGTGCCAAAAGGGTAGCCATGGCTGGGTTTGGTGGAATTGTAGGATGGTGGTGCGTTGTCTATTACCTCACGTTCCAGACTGAGCTAGGATGGGACGTTATGGAACCTGTGACGGTAAGCTTCTTCAAACTCACTGTTTAGACTGTGCAAGGCTAACATGACTGCAGTATCTTGTTGGTCTTTCGACACTTATTGGTGGTTACGTCTGGTTCCTGTACCATAACCGCGAAGTTAGTTATCGTTCGGCCATGAACTTTACTGTGTCTCGTCGACAGCAGAAACTCTACCAGCAGCACAACTTCGATCTGCGCAAGTGGGAGGCGCTGATTGAAGATGGCAACACTCTCCGCAAGGAAATCAAAGCGATTGCGAACGAATACGATGTTGAGTGGGATGAGCTGCAGGACGAAAAGGATGAAAAGGTGCAGCAGGCGCTTAAGAATGAGCGCCGCCGCAAGGAAGAGAAGAAGAAGAGCAAGGATGATGATGACGAGCCGGTTCCGGTAACCAAGGACGAGAAAGGCAGTAAGTAGAGTGCGCATGGCGGAGTTTACTAAGTTTGGCATTGTGGTTTTTGCGGATTAGGCATTTGAGCGTGGCGTTTTGGGAAGGATGCACGGTATATACATAGATAGACATACCCCAGCATGTTGTGCTGAGCATTACAACCGAAAGTTTGTCGGTCACACGCAGCAGATGTGTGGTGTGAGAGTGAGAGCATCAGCATGTGTCATGGATGGAGAGCGTTGGAGTGTGATGGGGGTTGGGACGAAAGAAGTGGGGCCGAGTGGTGCTACTAATAATATCGCGGTGTGTGGGGATGCATGGCGTTCGAGTGCCGCGCCGCATGCACCCTGCACGGCACTCGGATACTTACTTTGGACAGGGTAACATGGCAAGTGTCCGCGTACAGCAGCACCACGGACGCACTGGACGGACTGACTGACTGACTGACTGACTGACCGGAGCAGGGACATGGCCACCGTCGACAAACGGACTAGAGGGCGCAGTATCAGGAGACACGCACATGGAGCGCCATGCAGGCTGGGGACATGCAGTGGGCATCTTCTTTACTTAGCCGCCGACGTCTTGTCGACGGGCAGGGATGGTGCAGGTGGCCCTGGTCGCCGAGTGCATCAAGGGGCGCCCATTCGCTGGACAAGCAACAGTCAAGACTGCCTCTAAACCCGTGTGCGCCGCCATGATCGCCGCTGAACCGCCAGGCGTCGAATTGGCCGCCGTCGTCCATCTTCACCCTTTCACCAATACACAGCAGCATGACCCTGCAGTCTCGTCTAGGGTGACAACCACCCGCCTGGCGCAGCGCCCCATCGTCGCCCGCTCTCTCCTCTGCTGCTGGATTCGCCCACGCCCGCTCGTCGGAGCCGCTGAGGGCTAACTGTTCTCGTCGACGAACCCAGCACGGAGTAAAACCGAGAGGACGATTGCTCCTCCATACATACTAGTCGCTATGGCTTCAGAGCAGGCCTACAGTCCTGCCCCACCGCCTTCTCCCCGACTGCCTCCCCCGCCGCCTTCACCGCATCCCACTCACCTCCAGGCGCCGCAGATATCTCCCAGGCGCTTCGCTGTGCAACCGCCACTTCTCAACACCACCCTTGCGCCACCGCCGCCCTCTGGTCCCGCCTATCTGCATGGCTCCACGCCCGTTACGGCCTCGTCGCTGAGCCTGCCCTTCTCGCCCTCACTCACGCCCTCGACGTATGCGCCCTCTCCCGTCGCGGCTGCTTCACCCATGGCCATGCGAGGCTCTGCTCCAGCCGCGCCGTACAATCCCCAACAATGGTCGCGGGGTGGGAGTGTCAATGGACAGCATGTCCAGCACAGCCAGATATCGGTGCCCTCGAGGCTGCATGACGTGACGGGCATGGAAGGTACACGCAATTTTTCTCTTTCTTCTCTCCTCCCTAGGCTATGTAGTAGATTCCGTAGACCTGCTCTCCTTCTCTCTCAAGTGTGCAACAAATCCTGTGTCGAGCATATCATGGCATTGTGCACTCCTTCCTCACCGCCGAGACAATCGACTCGACACATCAAAATGGGTGATGCTAACACTACCAGCCTCGATGCCCTCCCCGCCACCTCCATATTCGCCTGGTCAGAACCCAAACATCTCGCAGTCACTGAGCACCAGCACCACTTCGTCGCCACAGCTCACTGCCAATACGTTTCCCCACCCTCCGCCGCCCCCGCCGCCGACCAGCAATCCGCCATCGGCGCGTCCCATCTCAGGCTACCACAGTCGGCCTACCTCCATTGTCATACCCTCGAGCGCCACAAGTGTGATATCGAACCAGCAGTTTCCCCCTCCACCGGGAAGGAACAGTACAGGTCGGTCGGCGTCGCGCGACAAACTGACTTCCAAGTTCAGCCTTTCGTCCTTTAGGAATCGGAACAGTGACCATAGCCCTGCTCCGAGCAACATTGATTCGCTTCATATCAGTACTTCTGATGCCATCCAGAGAGCACCTGCTTCCCCTGGGCTGGTTGCACAGCGAGCTACGTTGACGTATGTCCACGAACAAATCAAGCAGGTATGATGCCAAGACTAACATTGAGACAGCTACACACCAAATGCATTCGTGGATCGACGGTACAGTCCCGATACGCAGTCACCTATCAGACCTCCGACTTCTCGAAGGGCGGCTTCTGCCGGTGTACCAGGCTATGAGACTCGGACACCCATCGATGAATCGCCCATTGTCCCACCAGGAAGCTGGAATCGCAATGTGCCATTACCCCCGCCCCCGCCCGGCCCTCCTCCCAGCAGTTCGAGGTCGCAGAGTATGGGACCTGGAGCAGAACCAAGCTCTAGCCGAATGCCTGTGTTGCCCTCGGCGCCCCCAACGAGAAGACCTGGTCAGACGTCATTAACACCAATCCCACCGACGCCCATGGGTTGGCAAGATGAGTCGACAAACCTTCGTCCAAGATCACCTGCAGCTCATGGCCTGTATATCGACACAAGCCCCCCTACCGTTCGCTCTTCCGAACAGCCCGCAGCATCATCAGAGAGTGGAAGCGTTTCGATTTCGTCTGGGCCAACCACCACATCAGGTTCGAACAGCACTTTGTATCAAACTCCAAACAGACGCGATGCAAGCACACGAGGCATCCGGGAGCGAAGGAGTGAGAGCCGAGCGGCGCGGGAACAACGAGCTGAACCGAGTAACAACCCATGGGCGCAAGATCTAGAGAACGAAGCCGCAAAGCCTGCCAATCTCGATTTGGGAACACCCGAAGGTGGTTTGACCCGCCGTGGCGCTGTCACCAGGGGTACGCCAAAGAGCAGTGGGCCAAGAAGCGGAAATATCTTTGAAGATTCTGGGTCAACAAACTCTACACCTCGAATCGATGCACCCCCCAGGTCTGCACTTGCCGGGGCGCCGACGCCGCCTTTTTCGCCAGGTATGGAACATCTCAGTCGTTCAGCCCAGAAAGCTCCAGTCCCGCTCCCTTCCAAAGCGCTACCCACCCCACCACTCCATATTTATGGAGATGAGAGAGATGCAGACCTGACTCGTCAATCAGAAGCTGCAAACGATTCGGCCATGAATACACCAAGTACCTCTCGTGTCGGGGGCCCGGATTCTACGGTAACCACACCTAGGCCGGCGGGCATTCATGCCTTTGCCCGTGCCTCTATGGAACGTCATCGACAGTTCATTGAGAAAGAGATGGCTGCCGAAACCGATCAAGACAGACTGGAGTTGTTTGCAGAGTTCATTGTAACTGAATCTCGACTCCGCCGGGATCGTTACTCTGGGGCTTTCGATGCCATGGCGGGCGATATCATGGATTTGACGAGAGACTTGTGGCGCTCCTATGGCAATTCGGGACGCAGGTCAGTCACGCCAAACACGCAAAAAACCCCCGCAGGACATGTCAGCAGAAGGTCGCAAGGGTCTGTCGCAGGAGAATCTCCTGACACTCGCTTCTCCAATTCGATGCCTACGACCGCTGCGAGTCCTGCATCATCAATTGGCAACTTTACTCCTCATACAGAACCTGCTTCACCCTCTAGTGCCTCAAGCCAGAAAGCTCGGGATGCGTCTTGGGTTAATAACTACCACCCCTCGCTCTCGCCTATCCCTAGCATGGCCATGAGTACTATTCCTGATGAACAAGACTCAAGAGGTCGGTCTGCAAGCCGTTGGTGGGAGAGTGATGGCGGATCTTCTGGAGTTGGTGGTGGAAGGAGATTGGAGCGAAGCAAAAGAGAGTCCAAGTACATGAGTTTGCCGAAAGAAGCTCGTGAAAGTCTGCAGTGGGCCGGTATGGATGCGAACGCTCCAAGGCAGCGAGGCGAATCCAGTAGTCGACCAGCGTATGGACCCAATGGATACCCACCGGAGAAGGTTGGCCTGCATGAGGAAGGCCAACAGCCGCTGCCGCAACAGCAGCAACAGCTACAGCAGCAACAACAGGGCTACGGCTACTACCAGAGATCCGCTACGGCAACGCCTGACCCTGATAAGCTGGATGTGTCGCGGCTTGTCACGCTCCCCCCTTCGTACCCACGACATCACCCCGCTGTCAACAACAGTCACCCAGATCTGGCCAGTATCCGAAGCAGTTTGCGAACTCTCTCGGAACTCGATGAAGTCAAGAACACCAAGGCGAAATTCAACACAAAGATCGAGGCTCGAAAAGAACAAGAGAATGCATCTTTGTCTGACCGACGCGCGCAACTGAGATATAACATTCAGGATAATGTCCGGAATGGGGTCATGTCGTTTGCTGATGCCGCTAAAGCAGAGGCAGACTTTGAGAGTCGCGAGCATCAAAGGGCACAGGACGTAGTCCAATGGATATTCGACACATTCCAGGCCGAAGTGGCCAATCCACTCCATGCCATGTTCTGCGAGCGCATCACCAAGGCTACAGCTTCCATGGAGCACCTTAAAGGACGCTTGAAACAGGAGCCAGATCCCAATCAGACACAAGAAGAGGGTGACGAAAAACCAGAGCTTCTAGAGATGCTTACTTTGCTCAAGTGGCTGTTTGAGGCGCGGGAACAACTACATAAAGAGATGTACGAGTTGGAAGATGAAAGAAATGACCTTTATCGGGACATCATTGTTTTGCCTTATGTTCAAACCAAGAACGAACAAAAGGTAAAGGAAGCTACAAGCTTCTTCCGGCACGACGGCCAAGATCGCAAAGTTACCTTTGAGAAGGAAACACTCAAACGCTACGAAGACTTTATGGACGTCATTGAACGAAACGTGACGCGGGGAGTTGAGACTCAGCTTTCTGCTTTCTGGGATATTGCACCAGGCCTGCTTGCTATTGTACAGCAGGTTCCTCGAAACCTACAAGGCTTTGGGATCCTGGTGCCGCCTCAAGAGTACGAGGAGACACCAGCCTATCACGACTACCCGCTACAGTATCTCTACACTCTTCTCGCACACGCTGGTCGCTCTGCGTATCAGTTCATCGAGTCGCAGATTAATTTGTTGTGTCTATTGCACGAGGTCAAGACAGGCGTCATGACTGCAGGTTCACGACTCCTCGAAACACAAAGGCTTCTAGAGGGTGAGGATCTAGCAGGGGTAAACCAAGAGATGAAGGCTATTAGGGCTGATGAAGAGAGGAGATTGACTGATGACTTGAAGGAGAAGGTTGGCCTAGTGGAGAGCCAATGGAATGAAGCGCTTGGACAAGGCTTGGAAGACTGCAAACGACGCGTGGAGGAGCATCTGGCAGAGCAAGGGGGTTGGGATGACACTCTGCGAGAGTGAATGGAGCATATGGGTACATGGTTCATGACTTTGCTGTCCTTTTCTTTCTGTATTCACGCACCGTATCGATACCCGTTTGAAACGTCTGTTTGGGCAGCCGTTGGATACAAAATTACTGTTTGGCAGTTTTCTGACTATGACATGGTTACGCCCGGCGAGTGCGGTTGCTTCCGTCGTACAGGATCGGTGTTCAGTTGATGTGCATGGCCCTGCAGCATGCACTTGCTACACCAGGATATCTGGCCTCCAGCGACTACCCCTCACTGCACTACTGACCGTCTTCTCCTTTTGCTGTGCTAGTCACAGGGGCCAATCACACTTGGTGCTTCGTTTTCATCTCTCCTGAAGAGATGCGCTTGGCAAACATCGCTGAAATGATGTTTTTGGCCTCAAACGCCCCTTCTTCCCACCTGGGCGCACTATCTGACATGTGATACAAAGGATCCACCATTCTGATAACCGTTATACTTGTCTGTGGTGGGTGTTCACAGGATCAGACGCAAGAGATGGGCTTTACGCTGATCTGCCCTCGAAACTTGGACGCAGTTGCGCCCTGGTCTGCCCTTCTGTTGTCATTGTCAGTCGTACTGCAGCCTTCTTTCATTCACCGCCTTGGCTGCGTCACCCCCAAACCGGCTAGTGGGGAAAGCGCACGGACCATCCAAAAAAACGCCGCACACACCTGCCCATAAAGACTGATGACTTCGTCGTGTCTGCCACCTCCAACGCTTACCCACCCCAACAACACTCACCAGCTCTTCCAGCCCCGGTTCCCAGTGGACCGTACATAACACAAAAAGAAACAAAAAAATACAGAAAACAACAAGAAAAGCCCGTCCGACGACGACAACCACCCACTCTTCGTCTCGTCCTGTCGCCTATACCCGACAGACGTCTTGCTTGAGTCCTCCTTTTTCGCCCAGAAGAAGAAAATCAGTGTGTCCGCAGCAACTCTGCTCTTGGACCGCTTCTACCGCTTCTGCTACCCCGCACGGCTCCTGTTGCAACTTTCAGCAAGGTTCAGGTGAGTGTCCTAAACTTTTTTTGCGAAGCGAGCGCACCTGCCCAAGTCACGCATGCGCCTGCCCGCAATATTTGTTCACGCTACTTTCTGTCGCTCAACTGACACCCCGCCTTGTAGATAGACACCATGTCTGAAGTCGCAAACTCCACCTCGCCCGTCCAGGACGGTGCTGACGCCAACGGCGCTCAGATCAACACCAACGTCGCTGCTGCCCAGGCCGAAGCCCCCACCCCGACCTCTGCAGCCCCTGCTCATAACCAAAACTCGGCCTCGCTCTATGTCGGCGAGCTCGACCCTTCTGTCACCGAAGCCATGCTCTTCGAGCTGTTCTCTTCCATTGGCCAAGTCGCTTCCATCCGTGTCTGCCGTGACGCTGTTACCCGTCGCTCGCTCGGTTACGCCTATGTTAACTACAACAGCTCTGAGGACGGCGAGAAGGCCCTCGAAGAGCTCAATTACACTGTTATCAAGGGCAAGCCTTGCCGTATCATGTGGTCCCAGCGTGACCCCGCTCTGCGCAAGACTGGCCAAGGCAACGTTTTCATCAAGAACCTGGACCATGCCATTGACAACAAGGCACTTCACGACACCTTCGCCGCTTTCGGTAACATCCTCAGCTGCAAGGTCGCTCAGGATGAGCTTGGCAACTCCAAGGGTTACGGATTCGTTCACTACGAAACCGCCGAGGCTGCCAACAACGCCATCAAGCACGTTAACGGTATGTTGTTGAACGAGAAGAAGGTTTTTGTCGGCCACCACATCCCCAAGAAGGAGCGCATGAGCAAGTTCGAGGAGATGAAGGCCAACTTCACCAACATCTACGTCAAGAACATTGACCTTGATGTCTCCGACGAGGAGTTCCGTGAGCTCTTCGAGAAGCACGGTGACATCACTTCTGCGTCCATTGCTCGCGACGAGCAGGGAAAGAGCCGCGGGTTCGGCTTTGTCAACTACATCAAGCACGAGGCTGCCTCTGCTGCCGTTGACGCCCTCAACGACACTGACTTCCGCGGTCAGAAGCTCTACGTCGGCCGTGCCCAGAAGAAGCACGAGCGTGAGGAGGAGCTACGCAAGCAGTACGAGGCCGCCCGCCTCGAGAAGCAGTCCAAGTACCAGGGTGTCAACCTGTACATCAAGAACCTCAATGATGATGTTGATGACGAGAAACTGCGCGACATGTTCACTCCTTTCGGTACCATCACCTCCGCCAAGGTCATGCGCGATGCCATGCCTGCTGAGCGCTCTGAGACCCCTGGCGATGAGAATAAGGAGGAGCCCAAGGAGGAGGCTGAGAAGACTGAGGAGCCCAAGGAGGGCGCTGATGACAAGAAGGACGAGAACAAGCCTGGTGAGAAGGTCACCATCAAGGGCGAGAAGAAGATTCTTGGCAAGAGCAAGGGCTTCGGTTTCGTCTGCTTCAGCAACCCCGATGAGGCTACCAAGGCTGTCACCGAGATGAACCAGAAGATGATCGAGGGCAAGCCCCTCTACGTTGCTCTTGCCCAGCGCAAGGACGTCCGCAAGAACCAGCTTGAGGCTACCATCCAGGCTCGCAACCAGCTCCGTATGCAGCAACAGCAACAGCAGCAGTTCGGTGGCATTCCTCAGATGTTCATTGCCCCTGGTCAGCAGCCCATGATGTTCCCTGCTGGTGGTCGCGGTCAGATGCCATTCCCCGCTGGTATGCCCGGCCAACAAGGTGGCCGTGGTGCTGGCTTCCCTGGCGGTATGCCTGGTCAGCAAGGCGGCCGTGGCGGCCCCAACGGTCAGCAGATGCCTCCCATGTACATGCCCCCTGGCATGGCTCCCGGTGCCTTCCCTCCTTCGTACATGAACCAGCAGTACATGCAGCTGGCACAGGCTGCACAGCAAGCCATGGGCGGACGTGGTGGTCGCGGCGGTGTCCCTATGGCTCCTATGCCTGGTATGCCACAAGTCCCCATGGCCGGTGGTCCGGGTATGCGTGGCGGTCAGGGATTCCCTCCTCAAGGTGCTGGTCGCGGCAACATGCCCCAGGGCGGCCGACCTGGTCAGTCTCCCATGCCCGGTTACCCTCAAGGCGGACGCGGCGGTCCTGCCGGCGCTGGTGTCGACATGAGCGCTCTGAGCGGCGCTGCTCCTGGTCAGCAGAAGCAGATGCTCGGTGAGGCTCTCTACCCCAAGATCGCTGAAATGCAGCCCGAGCTCGCTGGCAAGATCACCGGTATGCTTCTCGAGATGGACAACAGCGAGTTGATCAACCTGTATGTATCACCTTCCCCTTGTTTTGCTTAGCCATTGTACTAACCTATCCAGTACTTCTGACGAGGCAGCTCTGCGCGCCAAGGTTGAGGAGGCTATGAGCGTCTATGACGAATATGTCAAGAACAAAGAGGGTGAGCCCGAAGAGAAAGCCCCCAAGGAGGAGCCCAAAGAGGAGAAAGCTTAAACCTCTTTCTAGTTGCCACTGAGTAGGGTTCGGTCCGCGATACCTTCGAACGGCAGCAAGTTATGATGGTCGCATGATTTCCTTGAATGGCGAATGGCGCACGAGTAACGGTTTTCTCATGACACGGGACGGCTTTCATGACCGATTGTACCCCAAAAGTTTCTTATGATTCGATGTCCCCTCCTTTTACATTTTCGATGAGTCGTGGCCCTGCGGCGAGTCGACAACAATACTTTCTTTTGGCGACTGACTCCTTGATTGGAACGTCGGACGTCATGACTAGGGTCGCCCAAACTCTGTCTTACGAGTCGGGTGGCCCCTCTTTTCTTCCCAACGTTTCCTTTTTTCACTGATTTGTTTTTCCTATGTATGATAGACGGCACCCCGTCCCTGACGACACAGGATGAGTGGGTGTGCGGTGGGACTTTGTTCGCGCAAACAGTTTGATACCTCAGAAGCCAGGCTCTCCCATCAATGGTTGACGGGGCTGGCTTTCAGCGTAACGGAATTTCGGCGTCTCGAATTCGGACTGGGAATGGGAAAGGGGATTATGGATGATGGAATGAAAGGGTAGATGATAGTGTGGATGTGGGGTGGTGCATAGTGTTAGCAGGTATTCGAGGCCATCTGGTAAAAAGACTGGATAGCTCGAAGCGAGAATGGCGGCTATGTTAGGGAATATAGTTTTATACCCCGAATAGAAGTTGCAAATGCTCAGTCATGCCTTGATGATGGTGACGATGATGGGGTTGTTTTGATAAGGACGTTGCGAGGTGAATTCATCACGTCCACTGCCCAGGTTCCCTTGAAAAGTAGGTGGATATCATTCAGTCTCACGTCATTATACAACCTTACATAAAACTACTGCTAGGATATATTGCAAAGATACGTCGATTAGCTTTTTTTGCACTCGTCCCAACCGCGTAAAACATCGCAAGGCCATTACTTCTGATACTTCTTGTGCGCATCAATGACTTTTTGTACCTCACCTTCTGAACCCAGGAAGATACCGGATCGGTCGTGAATGTGCTCGGGCACAACCTCGAGCATGCGCTTCATGCTGCTGTTTACTGCCAAACCGCCAGCTGCATAGTTTGTTAGCGTCATCCAAAGAACCAATCTTGAATGAGGGAAAAGAAAGAGCTAACGTACCATTTTCAAAAACCATAGCCATAGGAGCGCACTCGTACAGAATACGAAGCTTGCCCTTGGGAGTCTTCTTATCGGCAGGGTAGGCAAAGATGCCTCCGTACAGCAGTGTTCGGTACGCATCTGCCACCATGGAACCAATGTAGCGCGCACTGTATGGCTTTCCGCCCTCGGGAGGGTTCTTCAAGCTCTCGCACCACTCCTTGACGGGCTGTTCCCAGTACATGCTGTTTCCCTCGTTGACCGAGTAGATTGATCGTGTCTTGGGGCACTTCATGTTAGGGTGTGTGAGGATGAACTCGCCAAAGGCGTTGTCGAGGGTGAAGCCGTTGACGTTGCCGCCCTTCATGGTGATGACCAATTGGGCAGAGGCGCCGTACATGGTGAAGCCTGAGGCGACCATCTCGGTGCCGGGGAGGAGGAGCTCCTCTTTTGTGCCCTTTGCGCCTTCTGGGAGCTTGTACACGGCGAAGATGGTGCCGACAGAGACACCGGCGTCGAGGTTAGAGGAACCGTCGATGGGATCGCAGGCTACGGCGTAACGCGCATTGGGGTATTCGTCAAAGATGATGGCTTCTTCTTGCTCCTCGGAAATGAGGAGGCGCACGCGACCTGACGAGCGCATTGCGCTGATGAAGAGCTCATCGCCAATCACGTCGAGCTTCTTCTGGTCATCACCGGTTGTGTTGGATGTGCCTTGGAGGCCAGTGAGCTGCTCAAGTCAGTTTGTGGGTACGGATAATCTTTGAGGGAATTTGCCTACATTGATTAATGACGCTCTCCGAATGTAGTAAGCAATGCTCTTGAAGGCAAACTGGAGCGCGTGACATAGCAGTCTGTAGCAAAACAGTTAGTTTTTCCGTGTCAGGACGATCCGGAAAAATTAACGCACGTGAAATCTCCCGTCGCCTCCTTGACTTTTGTTTGCTCTTCGGTCAGGAATCGAGTGAGGGTGATGATGTTGGTGTTGATCTTCTCCTGAGCAACTGGATTGCTGTCGCCGTTTGTGGTGGAAGCCATTGTGAGCGTATATGTATGTGTGCGACAATATAATACAGTTCACGACAGAGGATTGCTGCAACGGGGGTGTGGACGAGGCGCAATGGAGAAGGTGTATGAGCGGAGAAGGAAAGATGGGAAAGATGGATGTGGGAGATGGAGAAGCTTGGGGGACGATGGTGAAAATCTATGCGGTTCAATTGAAGCAAAAAGCGGAGCTGAGGTTTGTTATGAAGTCAGGGTGGGTAGAGTCGGACAGGCGGACCACACTTCTGTGGCATTTGTTTGGCAGATGCGTTGGCCGGAATGGAGCGAGCCAGCAAGCTATAGTCATCCCTCGGCAACTGATCGGGCGTCACAGGACACTTCACGATGTTCCAGCCGCATGTGTCAGCCACGGGCGATCCGAAGGAAGACCGACGGTCGCGACAAATAGAGCCGACGAGGAATGGGTGAGGGTGTCTGGGCATTGCCGAGGAGAGGATATGGACGCGCTTTGTTGCGGGAGCGCGTAGTTGGAGGCGAAGATGCATGTGCGGAGACGCAAAAAAGTGGAGGGGCTGCAGCGAGGGGTGAGCGGGGCGGGCTGGCTCCTCCCCCACCGCCCACTGACGTCTTTCCGACCTGTTCCGACCCGCGGACGTGACGGCACACGACCACCCTGCCTTACCCGCTGCCCTTTGTTTATCCGCGCAGCCACGTGACCTCAGCAAAGAATTACCAAAAACAGAGCACAGCCCATGTCAGCCCACGGCAGATAACAACATAGTAACAAGGTAAGATCCAGCTTTTGATACTCTACACGCAGTAAACCTACATCCGCAGTGATGAAAATGCTCAACGGAACAATCCTGCAAAGCCCACATCCCCAACCCTCACTCTATCCATTGCACCAAGGGGGGAATCCAGCAATGCAACCAATCATGATCCTGACCTCTATTACAAGTCCAACCCACTCCCTTACTCGCTCTTCAGCTTATCCTGCTTGACCGTGAAGGCCATATCCAGCAGCGCCTTCTCCTCGTTCTTGTGCGATACCTTGAGTCCAGTCGCTACAGATGCGCTAGGGTTACGTCCAGCGTACATGACGTGTCTCCTGTTGTGGTGCTCCGTCTGGTTGAGCAGAGTCTCAATCCTGGGCTGTGTGAAGCTCCAAGCTCCTGCGTTGAGCGGCTCCTCTTGGCACCAGATGATGTTCTGTGCATTGGGGTATGAGTCGAGGTTGTCCTTGAGCTGCTGCCATGGGAATGGGTTGAGCTGCTCGATGCGGGTAATCGCCACATCCTTCTCTCCACGAGCCTCACGCTCCTTGACAAGCGCCGCGTAAACCTGACCGGTGCAGAGAATGACGCGGTTGATGCCCTCGTGTGATTCAATCTCTCCGCTGGCGTGCGCTGGGTCCTCGATGATCCACTGGAAGTGCGAGTCTCCGGTGAACTCATCAATGCTCGAGCGCGCAATTGGGTGACGGAGGAGTGACTTGGAGAAGAAAAGGACGAGCGGCTTGCGGAACTGGCGGTTCATCTGGCGACGGAGAAGATGGAACAAGTTAGATGGCTTTGTGGTGTAAGCAATCTGCATGTTACAGTCCTGGTGCTGGCGATCAAGCTTTTCTGGCGATGGGAAGATGCGCGGGTCCTCATTGCACAGCTGCAGGTAACGCTCGATACGTCCCGAAGAGTGCTCGGGACCTTGACCATCGTAACCGTGTGGCAAGCTCATGACGAGACCGGAACGCTGAAGCCACTTGACTTCGCCTGATGCAATGAACTGATCGATGATGACCTGAGCAGTGTTGGCAAAGTCACCGAACTGGGCCTCCCACATGACAAGCGCGTTGGGCGACGACAGTGAGTATCCGTATTCAAAACCGAGCCTGGAATGAGTTAGTCAATGTGATATATCAAAACAGAAATTATCATTACTTACACTCCGTACTCGCTGAGAGACGAGTTGGAAATGGTAAATGTTGCCTGGTCCTGGCTGAGGTTTTGCAGGGGTGTGTATGTCTTCTCCGTCTCCTGGTCGTGGAGTACAGCGTGACGCTGAGAGAAGGTTCCACGCTCCACATCCTGTCCAGAAACACGGACGTGGTGGCCCTCCATGCACAGACTTCCGAATGCCAACGCTTCAGCAGTAGCCATGTCAATGTTTTGGCCATCCATGACCGTCTTGGTGCGACCAGCCAAAATACGCTTCAAGTTCTTGTGTACGTTAAAGTCCTCTGGCGCCTCTCCGATCACCTTGGCGATGTGCTTCAGCTGCGACTCTTCAATGGCAGTCGGCAGATGAGGCAACACCTCAGTAGCAAGCTCCTTCGGTGTCTTGAAGCCGTTCCATGCAGAGGTGAGCCACTCCCGGGAGTTGGGAACATAGTCCTTGCTGCGGTTAAAGCTCTCGTCTAGCATACCCCAGACCCAAGCCTTGTGCTCATCAATGTCCTCCTTGGTGAAAGTCTTCTCCTCGAGGAGCTTCTTGGTGTAGATGTCCAGCGTTTGAGGCTGTTGTGAGATCTTCTTGTACATGAGGGGCTGAGTGAAGAAAGGCTGATCCGTTTCGTTGTGACCCTGCTTCCTGTAGCAAACCATGTCGATGACGACGTCCTTCTTAAACTCGGCGCGGAAGTCAGCGGCGAGCTGGCAGACAAAGTTGACAGCCTCAACATCATCACCGTTGACGTGGAAGACGGGCGCATCAATGGCCTTGGCGATATCAGAGCAGTAAGGAGTAGAGCGCGAAAACCTAGGATCAGTGGTGAAACCAATCTGGTTGTTTACAACAATGTGAATGGTTCCGCCAGTGTGGTAGCTGGGCAGCTGGTGGAAGCCCATGGTTTCGTAGACGACACCCTGTGCAGCAAAAGCGGCATCACCGTGCAGAAGAACACCCATGGCGCTGATAGCTTCCTTCTCGTCGTTGTTGTAGTGTAGGATGGCGCGGGTCTTTCCAAGCACAACGGGGTCCTCAGCCTCAAGATGGGACGGGTTGGCAACAAGGGACAGTTGCACGCGCTTTCCAGACGGAGTGGGACGCTCAAAGTTCATACCCAAGTGGTACTTGACATCACCAGAGCCCTCTTCGTTGGCCTCGGCAGTACCGGCAAATTCACTGAAAATAGACTCATTGGGTTTCCTGACGACGTTGGAGAGCACGTTGAGACGTCCACGATGAGGCATGCCAATGACGATATCCTTGACGCCATAATCGACGCTTCGGTCGATCAAAGCCTTCATTCCGGGAATCAAACTCTCTCCACCTTCAAGACCGAATCGCTTGTCATTGGGGTATTTGGTAGCAAGGAAAGCCTCGAAGTTTGTGCCCCAGATGAGGCGGTCCAGGATGCGGCGCTTCTCATCGACGGAATACTTGAACGGCGTGGGAACCTCAATGCGCTCACGGAGCCAATCGCACTGCTCCCTGTCCGGGATGTGAATGTATTCTATTCCGTAAGAGCCGCAGTACAGGCGCTCGCAGGCGTCGATGATCTCCTTAAGCTTCATCTTCTTGCGAGACTCTGTCCTGAAGCGGGGAAGGATACCCGGGCCAAGCTCAATCTCCTGCTCCAAATCCTTGTCGGTAAAGTTGTAGTGGGAAAGCTCGAGCTCGCGGGGCTTGTTGTAGCCAAAAGACTCGGCCTCTGAGCGAATGCCAAGCGGGTCAATCTTGGCCTTGTGGTGACCACGAGCCTGGTATGCGCGGACAAGCAATTGGACTTTGAGATGGTTCATAATATCGGTTCCTTCGACATTGGCCATGCCCATGCCCGGTCTGGCCGTAGCGCCTTGGGGCGAGCTCATGATGGTGGGCGGCGGCTGGAAGGCTTGCGACACGGGCATGTCGCCGGACTCCATGTTGTGGAAATAGACCTGCCATGAGTAGTGAACACTCTCGGGGTCGTGTTTCCACTGCATGTACATGGCATCGATGTAGTTTGCCGTGTTGCCCTGGAGGAACGAGTCGTTGGGGTCCTATGCCGTCATCGTTAGCTGGGGTCGAAGAGTTTGTATCTGGGGGGTAGATGGGCACGCACGACGCCCTTGCTGGTCTCCTCAGCCGAAACGGCATAGGGACGGCGCTGGGTAAGCGCAAGAGGACGGCGACATGTCGAAATGGCCGTTCTCGAGGGCTTTGTGAGGGTGGTGAAAGATGCTCTGGCTGGGGCGCTCCCCGGGAGCTTGCGAGAGCACTGGCGCAGGGTGTTGCGCAACATTGTGAATTAGGATGTCAGGGCGGAGGAAGGGATGCGTGTCATCCAAGCAGACAGTGGTGTACAGAAGAGAGCTTCTGCGATGGCAGTGTGCCGTCCAAAAGTGAGCAAGCCTGATCATGGCACATGCGTAGGGCCCCGTGTTCCACACTAGCGCCCTGTGCGATCCAGGACGGTTCGGAACAGGCCTCGCTCGTCAAATGCCTCAAACACGAATCGTCCAGCCAATGTCTGGAGCCTCTTGTCCGCGCCCGACTGCTGCCATGGCTTTGTGGCGTCTATCTTTGCGCTGCCTCTTGCCTGCTGCCAGTTGTGCTGGCCACGGTAGCACAGAGGCATGGAATGCACCTGTGAACCACACCCACAATGCAGCGCCCGCCAATGACGACCGGTGTGTTATTATGTAAGCGGAGAGCGCAGGCGGTGCCGGTGCTGAGGGTGTAACGGATATGTATCCGTTGCGCCACAATGTGCGTCAACGGGCTTGGCTTACACTATGCCGTGTCATGCTCTTCGTAATGCTACTCTAAGTAAAGTATGTATGTACATGCCGGCCGGGACAAGTCAGTGAGTACTTGGGTTGCATATGTTGATAAAGAGAAAAGGCTAAGTGGCTGTGTCTCGTGACCTGGCTCAGTGACTGCTCCTATTGTGTACATACTGGACTACACTAGACGAGTACCAGATAGACTACTACAAAACGCGTCCCAAGCGAAGCAAAAGCAATCCACGGCGCAAGGGCGGGTGATGCGTGATCACGTGCACCGCGTCAATTTGGGGAACCCCAAACTAGTCTAGCATTCTTCTACCGCGTCAGACTTACACACGCCGTGCATCCCCTCCAACCCGCCCATGGCTGACGCTGCCGCACAGTACAAGAAGCAGGACGGAACTGTCTCCGTCTCTGCCGATGGCAAGACGGTGGCTTGGAGGTCGGCCAGTGGCGCGCTTCCTCCCCTCTCAATAGCCATAGCTGACATCGCAAGTATGTCCACCAACGCCCATGCTTCGCCCCAGAAAACATCCAGGCAGCTGACTTGCGCTCAGATCTGCAGCAAACTCCTGCAACCGCCGCAAAGGCCTCCATCAAGATCGTTGTCAAAGAGCCATCGCCCCAAGCCGGTAACCACACCCTTACATTTACCTCCGCCGCCGCTCGCGACGATCAGCAAACCATAACCGGCGTCCTGCGCAAATGGATCGAAAACTCAAAGCAACAGGCTGCGCCTTCACCTGCACCGGTAGCGGCCAAGGCAGGTGAAGGCGATGGCGGCCCATCGGCCGCTATGGCTATGGCCCAGACCGTCGCAGCACCGGCCAAAAGCGACCAAGACACCTACGACGATGCAAAGCTGCTTGCCGACACGGCCCTACAAATGTCGTTGCTCAATTCCAG